GGGCAAAGGTACTCCCCACGCCCTCTATTGCCCTATTTGTCCCTACTCTGAAAATATTGGCATACTCTCAAAAATCTCTAGGGGGCAACTGCCCCTGCTGCCCCCCCCCCCCCGCTGCGTACGGCCCTGTGTGGAAGGGTAGTGTTGAGAGGGTGTATGAATCCAGTGTGTGTTTACTGTTATAACCACAGGCACTTGAAACGTTTCAATAAAATATAATGCTAAATAAATACGAAATCTAATACTACTACTACTAGTACTACAAAATTCTTAATGTTTCTATACTCTCTTTCACCTATTATTGCCGACAGTTTCCTGTCAATTCCGTGTAAATGCTCTATGCACACACACTAATGCCGCCATTGCTCACTGTGCACAGTGACTGTTAATATATATATATTATAGTAATATCAGGCCCGTAGCCAGGGGGGGGATTCGAACGAACCCCCCCCCCTCCCGAGCCCCCCCGAGCCAAAAATTTTTTTTTTTAATTTGCACGAATTTCACCTCAGGTCGCTCTATTTTAGTGTAATAATTGCAAAATCTCCATCGTGCGGGAGGGTGAACAGTGAACACCCCCCTCCCACACCCTCCCCCCGCTCGGTTGCTTGGCTTCCTCGCCTGGTCGCTTCGCGCCCGAGAAGGGGCATGTACAGGGGAGGTCCAGGGAGTCCGAACCCCCCCTTGCTCGGGCAGAAAACGCATCTGAGGGGGTCTAATTTTAAAAAATTTCGGGGGGAGTGCCCCCCAGACCCCCCCTTCGCGTGCTCGCAACTTTGGGTTACGGTTAGTCCCCCCCTCTCTATTATCTCATGCGTATATAGATTTGATAGAATTGCCTGTGAATTTTAAAATCTGTCAGTGTGCATGATTTGGAGTATGTGCAGGGGTCAAAATAAGCGATGGTCCGATGGTCCGGGGCCATCAAATAATCAGGAGGACCATCAGATTTTCAAAGTTGACAAGTTGATTGTTCAAGATTGAATATTTTGGTCAAATTTTACGGTAAATTTCTTGCACGCCACATTACTATTAGAGAACAATTTGAAATTTAGGAGGACCATCTAAAATTTAGGAGGACCATCTAAATTTCTAACTAGATGGTACTGTGGACCATCTCTTTTTTTCTCCTCATTTCTACCCCTGATGTGTGCTTAATTTGCTTAGTGAGATCACGTTTCACGTCATGGTAATGTTTTGTGATTCTATCTTTGTATTGGGGGATAGGTATTCCCATGTTGTGTGTCGCCACATTGAATTTTGGTTTTTAAGTTTTTACAGTCTGTTAGTGAGCACATGCGTGGTGCATGTATGAATTCCCTTTTTTTTGTCCCATGTATGTTCCCAGCTCACTCCTAATAATCACCCAATCACCACCCAACTTCACCCTGCAAAATAAGGCGTGTACGGACGGACATAGGGCAAAATAAAGCTGCATTATCTTTTGAGACGTAAAAATAATTGGAATAGCTTGATGAGGCTGATAAAAGTTGAAACTAACTGTTCATTACTAACATGGCATCGACTATTTTAGCCGAAGCTCTAGAAGCTAGTACAGTGAAACCCTACCTCATAGTCAGAACTGTTCAAATGTGTGAACATTTTTAATGTAGGTTAATATATAATTTGCATCCCATTCTGATTTTGCCAGGCTATTTCCTACCATTGTCTAAAACCATACATTGTAACTGATAATGGTTATGTGGCAAGTAACAAATATTTTTGACATGTATAGCATAGACAATTAATAAAAGAATAAAATGGTAAAAAATGTTATTTGTACTTTCAAACACGTATATAAAGTTTGTGTTGTGAGATCATGATAGTTGACACTTGTCTATAATATCAAAACACACATCAATGCGTTGGCTTCATTCAGGCTTGGAAGTCAATGAGCTTGATTTCGATGAAACCCTGCAGGAGCTTGACAACGTGGACCTACAACAAGCAGGGACAGATCCTGGAGTGTATGGACAGATTAAGAGTGAAATACAATGGTGTGTATTTGTATAGTATCTAGTTTCTTCATACCAGAAAGGAACAGGATTCTTGTTGTGATTGTGGTATTGTCCATTAACTACACCACACCCCTGAGTATGATAATATAGTTTATTGTGCAATGATACGTTTTTCAAGTGGTTAGGATTTTTTTTACTGTGCCACAGACACACCCCTTGCAATCCTCTATCAGTTCTGAGGCATATACATCAGCTGTGAAAACATAGTATTACTGGGCTGGGATTATCAAAAGTAAGCACAGCTAGTAATTAAGGCAATTAAGCAAATAAGGCATGTCGCAGGATTTATAGGATATTGCAAGCTAGCTTCAGGTGTGTAGGCATGTTGGATGCGACATGCATTAAAAGCCTGTGGAGATCCCTGTCATCCATTCCAACGTTGATATTTGTGATCTAAAACTGATGCATCGATCAGTGTCACTGGTCTTATACTTTACATTACATTGTGTAATTTATATAGGTCCATGGAAGAGCTAGCACGCTACATGGATGTGTGCAATTATAGCAAGCAGGATCGCGTAGCAAGCATAATCATCTGATTGTCGATTAATATGTAGATTGCGCTTTTAATGTGGAACCAAATTGTTATGTTTCTTTACAGGGATCTAATGCGACAGCAAAAGCGTGCAAGTTGGAAAACTGTTGAGAGAAAGTATTTCAAGCCAGAGCAAGAAACCAATCTCATGACGTGGGCAGCAAAAGACCAGTTACGTTACCTGCACAAAGAATATCCCAAAGAGTGGCCTGTGGAGAGACTTGCTGAAGCTTTCCCTATATCCATTGATGGTGCATTTACATTGTTTATTAATATATTGCATAAGGTGCTTTTTAAATTGTGTTTCATAGGCAGGGGCCCATTGTCAGAAACAAAATTAGTCTTAACATTAGTCTTAACATTAACAATTTCTCCTAGACCGTCGACATCACTTTGTTTCGTATTGTTATGAGGAAATCTGCTATGATTTTTCATTCTCGTAACTTCACAGCGTTTCTGTCAACGGTCTAAGAGAAAAAGTTAATGTTAAGACTAATGTTAAGACCAATTTTGTTTCTGACAACGGGCCCCAGGTTTCCTATTGCAAGGTTACTATAAATGGCTTGTATGGCAATAACCCTATTAGTCAATTATTAGGACTCGATTCTAAATTATCTGAAATGAAGATTAGCATGGACATAGTGTGAAGTAAACGGACTGTAGTGCACTTAAACCAGCAAAATTCTAAATACTACAATTAACCATCAAATTTAGCAGCAAATCAACAATTATTGCTTATTTACGTGCACTAGTTTTTTACTGCACACTACATGCATGCTAATCTTGCCTTAAGTACAACAGCTTTGTTAATTACATGCACACACGTTCCTTACACGTGGCCCAGGTGTTAAGCGTCTGCTGAAAAGTGAATGGGCACCAAGGAGCGAAGTCGAACTCAGAGCCCATGACACCAAGGTGAGTAGGAGGTGGAAGGCGCTGCGCACTGGTAAAGGTCTAAAGCAGCTTGGCATCTCTCAAAGGACTCTGCAGCTCATAGACGAAGGGAAGATTCAGATAGGAAATGGTGAAGCTATCAAGACTCTCCCCATCGGTGAGTATTCAGATCGTATCACCAAGAGGTAATCATGCCAAGTAGTTACTTTATGTTCAATGCTGCTAAATGTTAACTTGTGTTACTACTCCATATTATACTCTCAGGCTTTCCAGCGGCCCTAAAATTCCTAAAAATTCCTAAAATTTTGAGCTCGTCCTAAAATTCCTAAAAAAACTTTAAAAATGTATGAAATTCATATACAATTTTATTCAAATTCCTAAAAAAAAAATTCCACAGATATGTTTGGAGTTTTTGGTGATGAGATGATGAACTTTTGCTTTGTAATTTAATCAGTAATGGATGTTTTCTAGTTATCTTTATACAGAGTGAGTATTGTGACTCAGTCTACCAGTGATTCCTGTCTTGATGTGTCTGATTATACGACCCTGTTCCTGGCTGGATGTACATGACATGCCTAATTTGCATGAAACTTGATCATGTACAGTCGTATCGAGGACATGGAGGATAGGAATAGCTGGTAGACTGGACACATACCACATAGAACTTTATCTGTAAGTTAACACGTTGATGTTTATGAAAGGTAAGTGACTTATTTTATCCCTAAAATGTTTAGATTCATCCCTAAAAATTCCTAAAATAGCCCTAAAAAAAACTGAATTTCTCCCTAAAATTAGCCCTAAAATGTTGTCAAGGACTGCTGGAAAGCCTGTACTCTTCCATTCGAATTCAAGCTTCTTGTGGAAATAATAAATTGTTGCAGAAGGTAAGCGTGTAGATGGCTGAAATTTTATTCGTTTTTTGTAGGAAAGGTGGATATGATGCTCTTTCAGCGCATGGACACCAAAACAATCCAGCCCGTGTCAGGCCCATTCACCAAAATGATAAAGGAATACATTGAAGCAAAAAAATCAGCACTGACGTCTGGGACTGGTAAATATTGTATGTGTGGTTATTTGCCTAATAAATATCATTCACGAGCTGAAGATTGAAATGGGCACTGTACTAACTAATGGGCCATTGTCCTGCCCCTCCAGATAACAAACACCAATTTTCAACCGATTGTGGATATGCATTATAATGGCCGTTTTCACCGCTTACATCTTTGCAGATGAAAATAAGGCTACAGTGCGAATGTTGTCGAAGAGTAATCCAGCAAAGGTCTCAGCAGAAACACGACGTCAGGACCCTCAAGAACAATCCTACTCTCGTGTGGCCTTCAACAAGACAGAAGTCAAGTTAGCTGAGGTGAAGGAAGCCATGATATCAATATAGCAATGGGTCATCTAACCTGTGTGTTAAATTAAGTCAGATAAACATTTGAAAGCTTTAAAAATAGAGCAGGTACCCTTGTTATAGATTACAGCAAAATGACGAGTACAAATATATTATAGTGCAGTTTCTTTGACCTCGAACATCTATTTATTTAATGAATCTTTTACTGCATATCATTTATATAAGAACATAATTATCAGCATACAGACGTGTGGATCAAGCATCGAGAATAATGGCAGGAGTATGTTTATATGTACGTTATTGTATTCCTTATAATAATGTTTAAGGGTGTTTAGAACTGATTATTGTGGTATTTCTGCTGTGTAGGTGAAAGAGGAGCTTGAAGATCAGGCTAATACTATCACAACGGGAGATGAGGACCTTGACAGCTTATACCAAGAATGGGTTCGTGGACAGAAGCGGCTGAAACAAGCAGTGAGACAAATCCCACATAAAGAAAAGTCACTGCAGGTAGGCATGAAGCATAGTGTTTATGACATTGTGAAATATATGACAAATGAACTAATGCCAATTATCAAGCAAACCAAGGAGGGTGGCCCAAACCCGTGTTGAAACCTCTTTGACCTCAGCGGATGATTAAAAGTATTGAGGCTGATTGGTCAATGTGATTACAAAATATATATTTCACATATAAAATTTCTGTATCGTATGCGGATTTATAGGATGACATAGCTATGTCATTTTGTCAAAGTTTTTACAGTAGATTATATTATTTGCAGGAGGAAAATGCAAAAGCAGCCAGAGTGACCACTAGAGGAAAATACAAGGAGCATTTCCCAATGCAGTACGATGATCACCAGCAGGAGTCTTTTGTATATAGCAGCAATAGTGGTTATGTGAACCCTCTAGGTAAAAAGCCGAGCTACCCTGATAAAATAGAAGTCCCACGACAAAGTCAGAAAACTGCTGGATCAGAGGATGGAATAACTTATAGACGGGGTAATGTGTTTTACGATGAAAATGGAGATTTCCTATATAAAGTACCAGGTTCATGATAGGAATTACGGATAAATGATCAGGAATAAATGTATTGGTAATGTTTACATATTTATCATGTAGGCCTATATGTACATATACAGTAAAAGTATAGAGAGTATAGAGCTACATTGTAATATTACTGAATAAACAAACACTGTAAAATATACTGATATCTGATTAATAGCATAATATATTATTATTATATATCATTACTAGCTGCGGGTACCCGCTGCGCTGGGTAAAATCGTGCTACTAATTTATAGTACTAATAATGGGACAGAATAGGAACATTGACAATAACATTGCAGACAATATTAATATTTAGAAATGAGTGTAATAAGATAATAAGCATGGGAAAAACGAAAAAAGCTGTTGCGTATGACATTTATATGACAGCACAACCGAACTTAGAACCCCTGGGACATAATAGTAATATGGTATAAATGACAAAAAGTTATTATAAGAGCATGTAGAATGGGTTGGACTTTCATTTGAAAGCCTCTTTATAAAGAATGTTTTTCGTCTTATTCTCTGGTGCAAATATGTAGAGATTCCTGGCGTCTCCAACTCTTGAGCTCCCCACGTACAGCTATCATGTGAGATCGTAGCATGAATAAAAGGAATATAGTATCAGGAAGCTAATAATGAGAAATTTGTCATTATGGCTGCTCATAGTATAGATAGAGACACGCAACCATGCACATTGAAATGAAGAAATTTTCCTACTGAATCAAAAACTGCATAGCATTAGCATAGCTTTACAATGCATTCTGAGATCGTAGCATCTGAACTGAACCTCTGAGCTGAGTGAGTAGTGCCTCTGAACTGGTGAAACTGGTGCTGGTTGTGGGTGTGTTTTAGTATTGGTTTCGGTTTCACAATACAGCAGCCGGATGAGTGAGGGAATCGATTTTATTCTGTGTGGCAGCACTGTACAGCGAGTGCTGACATTGTGTGAAGATTCACGAATTGACGGGTTTTTCACAGAATTTTTCGGTGAGTTTGACAGGTTTTTTTCATCTAGGACACTCCCCGTGTATAAGAGATGGCCCTGTGAAAATTGCATCCAGATCGCTTGGGCGGTTTGGCCGCCTATAGGAAGATACATACATACGAACTCAATATAATATAGATATTAGTGTAATTCAATTAAGACAATGTAAGAGATGCTTTCGTGGCTTAGTGGTTAGGCCACGTGTACTGTCCACAGAAGGCTGTGAGTTCAATCCCCGGCCGGGGCAGTGAATTTTCTCAAGGTGTAAAAACCTTGCTCTCAACATTGGAGACTGTGAATCTCCGTGGCTCGGATGACCACGTAAAATGGCGGTCCGTCTCCAGTAATACGAAAGCCAACGGGGACGTAAAAGAACCACTGAGGGCGCAAAAACAAACTCTGGCTGTGACCACACTCAGTGACATTCAGTGCCATTCGCTATAGCTATATATAGCGCTGTTGGCGGACAGTTTACCCCTGATCTGTAAGGTTGGCAAAGGAAGGGCATCCTGCTGTAAAAATCGCCACAAACACAAAAAATGACTAGTCATTCAAATCAAGAGATGAGCCAGGATAATCAAAACTAGGATGTTAAAAAAAATTAAGTATTCATTATTTAGTTGACATTGCTACGTCTTCTAATTTCAACCCAAAGTGTTCAACTGCCCTGTAGTATAGATATTAATTATCCATTTACAAGACTGTGGAATACTGCTCACCGCTACGATTACTTTAGTTTGACAGAATAGTTGTTGTACAAGCCATGGCAAATGTATAGAACTGTCGCTAAGAATAGAACAAATATATTCAAAATGAATTTAGATTACATTTATTTATTTACTTTGTACAATAAAACTAGTCACAATTAATTGAAAAATGTAACAAAAATGCTAAATCATGTAATCATGTAATAACATCATTGCTGTAATTTATTTACCCATCTACCTAATGCTCCGTGTACTCTGAGCACAAGTGTATAACTAAACATAAGAGTGGCACTCATCACAACAAAACCCACTCCTTCGAACATGAACTTTGGTGCAAATATTTTCCATACCATGAGATGGCGCCTATGTAGACCAGCAGAAGCCATTGCAGCTAAAACCTGAAATCACCACCACACAAATTTATGCTTTATAATGGGTGAACGTGTTTTATATTAAATGGAAAGTGTTTCACAAATGTGTTTGACATGCTATCTCGAAAAATCCCAACACACATATTAGATGAACAGGGCTAGACTGTTATCTTCATGATGGCAGATTTTACTTGTGTATCCAACCCATTGTGCAACATTATTTTTCCCACAACTTGGCATTCAACACTCAGACTTGGCATTACAGACGACGTCAACGGCAACAAAAAATCAGTGGGTCTAGCACAAGTCGGCTCCCTGCCAGACCCACTGTCCGATACAGAAAAAAAGAGATTTCACATGCCCTGGTAAAGTACAGTTAAGTTTCAATGAACATGAAGGGAAGAGGGACATGGTTAATTACCTTTAGCCCATGTGCGGTGACTACCATGATACAGAGACGGTTCAGCGCGAGACGAAACTGTTGGTCATAATTCTGCAATACGAACTCGCCCTGCTTCTGCAGCTCTTCATCTCTCTGGTTGGTTTTGTAAGCTGTTGGAAAGCCTGCGACATAAAGGTTAAAAATAATAAAGCATACACAAAGGTTGCTGACCAGCCATGCTTTTACTCGCAGAGATATCGTGTTTTAACTTCGCCATGTTCAAGCTGCAAGTAATACAACCTTGATCCAAGAATATCTAGGAAAATTTTGAAAGCGATTAAAATAGTGTAGTCAATCGCCTGTAACGGCAGTTACTTTTAACACGGTGTGGAGTGATGTCTGCGGACAATAATTAACAGTTGATGTCTGCCATGAATATTGGCAAGAACAGAATACTTGCCTAACTTTGCCAGGCTTCTTCCTTGTGAGAACGGCCAGATGATGAGGAGAGGTGTTGCTAGTGCGAACAACACATACGACGCATAGGTGTTCAGCAGCAGCAGGATGCCGGGAACAATGTTATTTACATAGTCGCCATGGAAACCCGTATATGCAGCATCCCAATTTATCGTGGGAAAGCTGGCCTGGTGTCCAGTCGTGTAAAAGCCGGAGAATGCTATCATCTGCCACATGACTACAGCCCACCATGGTACCTCCACTTTATCTATGCCTATATATGGAGGGGAAACACAAAACTGTAGAGTTAGGTAATAATTCTAATATTTACAAAGTAGTCTAAAGTGTGTCATGTGCATGGCAATTAAATTAAAGTCTATTGCCTTGAAATTACTTCACTTCTGGCTGGCATAGCAACAATTAGACTATCTATCCAAAAAATAAAAAAAATAAAAACCTGACGGATGATACTAGACATCGGCCAGATTTTTATCTGACCTTTACACATGAGCAACTACAATACAATATTATGGAAATCTTGGGTTTAGTTAAACAATAAAGCAGCTTGTCACCTGACACTTGTGAGGTTGCCACACAGCTGTACATCTCGAGAAATAGGAACATGGATGTAAGCAGGAGGAACACTCCCCACGCAAATCCGTCACCTAGCAACAGCAGCAGAACAACGGCAGCAATGACGAGCACAGTGATCACAACACTGGAGTAGACTGTTGCTAGGCCATAGACCGTGACTGCATGCCTCTCAGTTGGGGCTTGACCCATGTGCTGCTGCCACTGCAAATTCATCTGATAGTAAACCTAGAATAGACAGAAGAAAGCACATTACTGGAGAATTAGATCGTTTAGTAGAAGCGGCCTAACGTTGCCAATGTCAATATAGCAAAACATTTTAAGGTAGTAATGGCCAAAAAACCATATTAGAGAATGACTGTGAAGAGTATGACGGAACCATTCCAACATGGACGTAAATTCAAACAGAATTCATACACATTTTGCCACAGTTATTACCTAACATACGAGTTACCTGTGGAATTAACTTCTTGTCCTTCTCAGCATAAAGCATCTTTTCAGGTTGGTAGATGAATAAGGGACTGATTACAATCACGCCTATGCAGCAAACAGCTAGACCATACACCAAGAATGGAAACATCATGTGTTGCCAGCTGGGCAGCTTATCTATGATCGACTGTGAAAGGCTGGTAAACGCCCAGTACAAGCTCACCGACACAGACATCAGAGGAAGCGCATATTTAACGGCGATCACACTGATGGCATGGCCATTCAAGTTCCCAAAGTGTCGCATCCACAGACGCAGCAGGTAGGGGAGCAAGCACACGGCAAGTAAAGAAGTGAAGTATCGAGTATTTTTGTATACGGTCATGGCAGAGATGGCTGAAAGCGGTTGAGTAAATCTGGACAGCTCGCAGTCCCACTGCTCCTCTCTGCACCTCCAGAATTCCTGGCTAAAGCGCAATACACAATTGAGGCCTATGGCCATACAGAACAGCACAAACCGGTAGTCTGTTATGATGTTATACAGGTCAAACTGAACCGGCCGTGTCTTATGTTGCTCCCTCTTTGGTTTGAGAGGTGGTGCCTGATGTTGGCAGCTGACTATGAATAACACCCAGATCAGCGACTGGCAGAGAAACGAAGAGGTGGAATCCTCGTGCACAACGTAGCTGTTGGAGAACACAGCTAGGGAGTAGACAACAACCACAAACAGAGGTGCACTTTCCAGAAGAGGCATGGAAGTGGATGGTCTGCATAGATTTGCTTTACAAATGAAAGGAGCCTGACTCATAAGGTACACTGTCACTGTGATTAACATGGCAACCGCAACAGATATTGCTGACAAATCCGGAAGAATGCAGAAAAAGATGAACAGCATACTGGAGCTCATTAGAGTCGAAAACGTGAACCACTTCGTCGCCGTGGTTCCCGACTTGTCAATCATGTCTATACAATGTATATTTCTTGTAATAACCATGCCTGCCATGATGGTCAAAACGGAAAGGCAAATGCCACCACAGATTGCTACCACGTCGAATTTTGCCCATACTTGTTGGCTCATGGACTTTACTGAGTCTAAATAGTTGATCAACTGATCTTTCACTTCGTTAATAGATGCACTTATATTAACTGCCGATATATTGTGCCTAAGAGATGCCCATGTTTCCATACTGCTGTTCAGCTGTTTCTTGAGCTGCTTGTATTTTATGTATGGAAAATCCTTGTTAGTTTTCGTGTATTCATCCAAATACCTAGCTACCTAAAAAAATAAACAATGTATATAATAATAATATAGACAAAGTTTTCACAAACCATAATAATGAATGTAAGAATAGAGTTCATTTCATATAGTGTTTAATTTGCATGTATATTCAGAGTTCTCCCAATGAATTACTAAAGGCACGTCCGGCAATCGGGCAATTCATCCCCGATTGCTAATTGAAATCAATTACATGTATCATATGCAATGCTAATAATGCAAGGAATTAATGCATGTCAATGCTGGGCAATTAATGCATGTTGGAGGATTTATGGGATATTGGAAACTAGCTTTAGGGTTGAAGGAAATAAAAGTGTGAGTTAATTAACTTTTTAAAGGCCTGAGGAGAACCCTGATATTTATAATACTAAATTTATAACTTAACATACTACTAGGAAAATAAGCCATTTGCATATTTTATATGCACAATATATTTTCTACCTGAATATGTGGAGCACAGTTTCAAATTTCATGTCTTAGCAAGTACTGGCCATCATATAAAGTGAGTTATAATATTCAAGTACTGCAATATTTGCCAGATATTTTTGACAATCTCATATCTAAGAATGTCACAGAAAGAAACACATACCTGTACAGAATTGAGTAACAAAGCCTCCACTACAGATAGTTCACCCTTCAGATCAGAGGGTGTGCTCCCTCCACCTGAAAATAGTTCTGGTATGATGGTTCCAAGATTGGAAAATGGCACTGGCAATCCAAGTAGCAGTGATAAAGTGGGAACTATATCTATCTGCGAGACAGCTCTCCTTGTGCTCTGTAAAGACGATAAATATATTTTTAAGTACAGCTTTTTAAGTGGATAACATTTTGCAGCAGATTGTGGCACCATATCTAGTTATTTACATTTTACGTTCTACTTATAATAAAAATCAGTGAGTCCATGTTAAAAACATTTAAACAGATATACACATTTAGATCTAACAATAGTTTTTATGTTGATATTTACTTAAAAAGGTAAATTCACCTGGTTTCGTTTAGCATCCATGAATGGCTTATGACTAAAGACAAAGAGAGCTGAATCGACTTCATCAGCACTGTCGCCTCCATGGTCTCCAGTTTTTGTCATACCATGATCTCCCATTACCAGTAGGAGAGTGTCGTTAGGCAATTCAGCAACAACTGACCTGCAAAGTAATTTCAATTTTGCCATACACGGGACGTATATAAATATATATATACTAGACAAGTTTGTTAAAGATTTTTCTCATATTCTTAATGCTCAAAACACATACCTCACTACTCTATCCATCTGGTTTAACTTTTCAGCCATGGATGGATGGCGAGGTCCATACCGATGTCCACAATGATCAACACCAAGAAAATGGGCAATGAGCACATCCCAGTCAGGCAGTTTGATTTCTGGCACCAGATGGTCTATAATTCCATTGTCTACTGTGTGCAGGTCTTTAACATTGAATGACGGAAATGAATATTGTCGATGAAAGCGATTTGGGAACAGCCCTGTCCATGTGTCATCCCCCATGAATGTTACTTTCAAACCTGACATTACAATTTGGTCTATGATATTGTCTTCCTTTATTTCCGAACTAGCAAAATTTGCTCCTACTTCAACAAAAGTGGGAAGACTTCCCGTTGTCATTCCTTTTAGGCGTTGCATTGTTGTCGTCGGTGGATCTGCGATGAACTTATACAACTGTGCTGACCTCGGGTGGCTAACAAGCAATTCACCAAGCACGGGAAACTTGTTTGCATAACTTGGTAAATTGGCTTGAGAACTGTCATGACTAGGCACGGCAAAGTCGTACCGCAGACCATCAATGATCAGTAACACTACTGAGGTGAAACTACTGCTTGGACAACAGCTGTAATTCGCAGCCGGGTCCAAACATTTAGCACTCTTAAAAGAGGGCGTCAAATAGGTGACGAGGTTTTTCCGGTGATCTGTCGACAACGTCTCTTTTTCTACGATACACTGACTGACATTGCCAAGTTCCGATCGTGACAACAAAAACCCTCTTATAAAGACATATAAGGACGCCGTGTGCATGCAAAATAATGATATTAAACAGAGAAACGTCAGACGGTATAAATTCATTGTCGATATATTCAGGTCTCAAGCCTAAATCAATAAGACAGACGTAAAATAGACAGACGACGGAGATAGATTGAGAGACTAACGAACTCATGTTATGGGAGCCGCCATAACCGACACGCGATAACATCGCCCTCTAGTGTTTGAATAGTACGTGCAAGGTCCACACAGAAATATATAGACAATCTAATCTATATTTGAGTTCGTATGTATGTATGTATGTGTGTATGTATGTATGTATGTATGTATGTATGTATATGTATGTATGTATCGTACCCTATGGACGGCCAAACCGCCCAAGCGATCTGGATGCAATTTTCAGAGAGCGATTTCCTATACCCGGGGAGTGTATATACATGGGTGTATGCAGGGGGGGGGGTCGTGAGGGTCGTACGACCCCCCCAAAATTTCAAAAGGTCCACATTTTTTCCAAAGACATTTTTTTGCGAGGGCCTTTTCACAATGACATAAATGAAAACATAATTGATCAGGTACCAGCAATGAGTCCAAAGACCTCGCGTGACGTAAATCTATCCCAATTCCAGCAATTCTGAAACTGAGCCTTTTTTTAAACACAATTTTTTGTTTAAAAAAAACTGAGTTCAAAAAAGAGAGAAAGACTCTGACAAAGACAAAGACAAAGACAAGACAAGATCAAGACAAGATCAAGACAAAGACAAGTTAAACAGTTCAAAAGACTTTTCAACTGAGTCAGAAAACTTGTTTAAAAAAACTGATAAAAAAACTTCAAATTTTTGTTTTAAAAACTGACTTTTTTTTGGAAACAACATTTTTTGGTTTCAATTAAATTGTATTGACATTTTAATCACATCTTGCTGTTATTTCATTGTGAAAAGGTCCAAAAAATTATGATCACGACCCACCCAGAAAAAATCCTGGATACACCCCTGATATAATTCCTAGACGAAAAAAATCCCTCAAAACGTCTATGGTCAAACCAAATATCGTATAGTGCCTCTGGCACTATACGATCTTTGGGTCAAACTGACCGAAAAATCCGTCAAAAATCCGTCAATTTCTCAAACTTCAGATAATTTCAGCACTCACTGTACAGTGCTGCCGCCAGGGGCGTTTACAGGATTTGTACCAGGGGGGTCGATCTAACCGTAACCCAAACATGCGAGCACGCGAAGGGAGGGTCTGGGGTAAACATTTTGAAATTAGACCCCCTTAGATGCGTCTTCTGCGCGAGCAGGGGGGTCCGGACCCCCTGGACCCCCCTCCCCTGTACACGCCCCTGGCCACACAGAAAAATCGATGAATATTTCCCTCGCCTCATCAGCTCCTGGTATTGTGAAACCGAAACCAATACTAAAACAGAGCACAACCAGGACCAGTTGAGAACTTGAGAGGTTACGACTGCATTGTTTATCAAGAGGCTTTCAAATGAGAAGTGCAACCCATTCGTACATGCTGTTATAATAACTTTTTGGCATTTATTTACACCATATTACTATTATGTTCCAGGGGTTATAATTAAGTTGGGTTGTGCTGTGATATAAATGTCATACATAACCGTTTTTTTACCATGCTTATTATCTTATTAAACTGATTTGTAAATATTGATATTGTGTGCAGTGTTATTCTCCATTATTACCCAATCATGTTCCTATTGTGTCCGATTATTAGTAGTATGAATTATAGCACGATTTTACCCAGCGCAGCGGTTACCCGCAGCTATATTATATAGTAGTGTTCACCCTTTTGAGACATGGACCCCTTTCAACATTTTGATAAAAGCTACGGAATCCCCAGAAAATGTGCATACGAACATAAACAAAATAATTTGTATGGGCCTGATTCACGGAACCCCTGAATCCCATCCACAGACTGCAAAGGGGACCATGACCATGCAAAGGGGACCACTGAACTAGAATATTATTTCTATGGATCTACACCACTATAAGCTGTTCCAGTGGTAAATAATAACAGAAAATTAACCCCTGATATAATAACATGTTATTAGTTATTATATACGGCTTACTGGTCCACAATATAGAAATAATATATTAGTTAGGAATTCTCTCCCCCATTCTCTCTATCTATCTGTCCACACAGATAATTTCCCTAGGGGATAGCTAACCTTGGCATTTATCTATGGTACACAGCAGCAACGTAGCTTGAATCACGTACGTTGTGGTCAAAGAGATAACACGTAAACATGAAAACCCTAACATATTGCTATATGAATATATTACGATTATTTAATGATAAAACCGTTATTGTATAAAGATGTACATAAGATTCAATGTTGAACAAATAAAGCATCTAAAGAAGAAATAATGATGCTCTAGAGAACTTTCAATAAAACAGATTTTAAAATAGCACGAGAACCACCGTAGTTACTTGGCTTCAGATAAGTGAGTAGAGTAGAGTCGAGTCGAGTAGAGTAGAGTAGAGTAGAGTAGACTAGAGTAGAGTAGAGTAGAGACAGGGATTGTACTAGCTACCCATATCGCTAGCAATATGAATAATATTCTTAGAAGGGTCTATTTATGCATGCTTACGCATGTAGTAATGGGTTTCACGCCAAACTACATGAACACTAAATTTGCATGTAAACACTGATTTACTGAAGTAGACATCTTTATACTATAGTAATACTATATGCTCAACAATCTGTACTGCCCTGCAAGTTTTTAACGTGGTTCACAGACACAACAAGCTTGTATTTTTGATCACAGTAATGATATGGTGAACAAACAGCTACGTATATATCCTCTACGACGAACTACGTATCTCAGCACGTAGTGAACAAACAACACATCGCTTTCATACATACATGATTCAACAACACACGTAGATTGCCATAATAACTGATGAATAATAATAAAATCACTGGTTCTGTCTCGGCAGCAGCAAGAACCGACAGTAATGTTTTGAATTAAAACAGGATGCTGACCCGACAGTATTGATACTGGATATGCAACTACCTGCCCTTATCCAACAACTCAACGTACTTTAATAAAATGCATGTTACCCTATAGCTAGAGATAATTATTCGACAAAACACAAAAACTTGTCTCTCTCTACGACCTCATGCAGTCTTGAAATCCTAACTGCCTTACACACTAAGGGAATTCCTACAAGTACGCTTAGCAATGCACATTCTACGTGTGTGCTGCTTCGTAAGCACACCACATATTGTAGCAAACACATTCTTACATATTTAGAAACTAAAAATAAATAAGTCTACAGTAGTCACAGCATTGAATCAACCATGAGAAAACAGTCTCCATGCCTAGATGGCGACATACTTAAGGCTGTGTATCACTATGTGTTAAATTGATCCAGTGACCAGTGATGCTATCACCCCTGATGCTTGGTACCGAGATGGAAGTAGAAACGTACACACAGATCAAATATGCATGTTTATATCATGATTTTACCCACCGCAGCACAATAAAACATGACAAATGTAAAGAACCTCTTGACATCCAAACTTTCCATCTCTAACCACAGCCTATCTGAGTAGTAACTTCAAGCTAAAGTCTATGCAAGAGTGTATATAATGTCATATTCATTATTTAGATAAACATATTAAGGCAGAACTACTTGTCTCTCACAACAACATTGACTGACTAGATCTCTAACATTCACTAGCAAGGGAAAAATATTACAAAGTTTAAGTAGAAATGTAGTTTCACACAGGGCTCCCTCTGGATGCTTTAAAATTTGTGCCAAGACTTCAGCCACCAAAGTTATTATTTAGCCACAAATGAAAAACTATCTAGCCACTGCTCACTTTATCGTATGTGCTAAGCAAGGCATAAACAGGTGATGGGTATGGGAAAATATGTGTACGAAATAATATAACATAATTGTACGAAAACATTTTACGGCATGACACTGCAATTTGATGATTTCATTATTGGATCGTAATTTTAAAAGTAGTTAAACCATTCGCCAATTGTATTCCCACTTAGGGTAGTACAATCAACACTGTTATTAATTTACCTCATTTTGCTAAGGTGGCAAATGCCAGCGGTGGCCCTGGTCTTATATAAGTAAGCAGTATTGCACTGATATGATAATATAACAGCTTGTTTAGAAAAAAATACTTATAAAAAATCAAGATAGCATGTGTCATACACTAGAAAATTAATATAAGTATGGTTCATCTACATTGTTTAAAAAGCTGGGTGTACAACCTATATAGGTGTCTATATATGGTACAGGGTCTACGTGCTAAATATATTAATTCACATAGATAATAAGAACACGTAAATTTCAAACTAAAAAATATTTTCATGGCACTGCCACATGGTTTGTAATGCTGCACAGATGACATTAAAATGCAGTTCACATTCAGTATATTTCTGAATCTCTCCTCTACCAACCCCTCATATGGAAAACCCGTTCATGTCGGCTCCAAAGAATGCCCAATTTGACCTCCTCGCTGAACCACCAGATGGCGTCGGCGAAGATATTCTTCTGTCATCGCCCACGTGTCTCGCGCTGTGAGTCGGCGTCACGTCGGAATCCTCCGAGTCCGCATCCCCGCTGGCTTCCGAAGCCATGTTAAGTTCGACAGCCTCCCGGTGGACGCCCTCGTCGTCCGAGTCGTCCGAATCTGAAGCGTCCTCCTCGGTCGAGGCAAGAGGCACATCGCCATTTGTGTTCTCGTACAGCGGCTCCGATCGCTCTGAGTGCATCGAATCGTACATCGGGTCACCGTAGTTCGTCTTGTAGTCCTGTATGGACTCGTTCAGCGACCACAGCTGACACAGCAGCGACATGTCGAGCTGTCGCAGCTGCACCTGCAATGACAAAGCAAGCAACCTTATGCGCCGCCCGCCAACTGGTACGCATATCAGCTCTGTCTCGCAGCTTCACCTACGAGCCTGAAGCGATCGATGTACAGTGGTGCCACCTGGTAATCACAGGAGCAAGCTGTTGCAGCTCTACCTCCAACCAGCAATGTGTTGCCACTTGATAATCACAGCTGCACCATTGCCCGGCTGCACACACAAGCACAGATCGAGCAATGTCACGCCACTCTGCTGCCACCTGGCAATGGGTGTCAATTTAGCACTGTCGTCATACTGCTATAGATCTGCCCTCACAATGCCACTTTCTACCCTAGACATTATAACTAACTTATTACTAACTTGAGCTTTTATCCAATTTCACCTGGCACAAATTTCATTGGGTTGGTTCAGTTATTGAACACAAGCGTTTGATCAAATTTGGCCTTGCCACATGCGTTGTGTTGCTGTGGGAATAATGATCACGCTGTCCCTACCATTTCCCTGCGCAGAACGGCTAGTGCACCGTTCAGGTTTCCGCGTGGGACGACGGGCCTGTTGCTGCCATGCGTCATGTCCTGCTGAATCATCGTGCGCATCATGTGCAGCTTCTCCATCTCCTTCCACTGCTCCCTGTCGTTCATCAGAGCCGACAGGGATTTTGGAAGAGGCGGAAGCTCGTCGAGTGAAGCCATAAAGTTGGAACGTTGTTCGTGGAATGAGTGTACCCGGGTATTGCTTTACATCAAGATAGGATTGTGGTCACTTTGCTATCGTACACGCATGATTACACCAACCTAGAAAAGGGCACGACACAGTTCATAAGCTTGAACTTGAAGCAATGAAGGGTTGGTTCTACGACTCGTACGAGTACGAGTACGCAGTCGAGAAAGTGAAATCGTGTGACGGTGTGTAGATGAATGAATAACGCCATTCACGGCTTATCTGGACAACATCAGTAAACTAAGTTTACGAGTTTACCTCACAAGACGCAGCTTAGTTAGCAAGTACACAAATGATGTTTATCTATAAGCTAAGAGTTAGTAAATGTACCATTTTGGTGCTGACAAATAACTTTTGTGCATTGTGATTGTACTTCTTGAGTATCTTTGTCATGCGCCATCTATTATCATTGTCCAAGGATATTTCAAGAAAATAATTATCTAAATATGTTTTATTCTACTCCAAACATAAATATAGTTATTACCAATAAAATTATTAGGTTTCATGTGTAATATAATTAATTTAAGCTAACGTTGCAAAATTAAAAAACGAAAGTCATCACGCAGCGCGCGAAATCTCAAGAGTCAAAGCATACGATTTAGTGTGAGATCTATGCCCGCAATGTTTAAAGATGGATCAGGAGGAACTCCTGGCTTTACGAAAAGAAAAAAATAGAAAGAAGAAGAAAGGAAACGATAAAGAAGTAACTATTATTGTTGTTTACGTTGCATAGAATAAACGTTT